CATGGGCCCAGGGGCTCTGCCAGCAGCGGCACAGCTCTCCTCGCAGGGGTCACCATGATGGCCAGTGAGGGGAGGGGTCAGCCCGGGGTCAGGCGACAGCATGTCCCCAGGCCAGACTCACCCTTGTCCTGCCCCCCAGCCGGCGGGGGGCCCACTTGAGGCAGAGACAGCAGTTCCCAAGGAGGCAGCTCCCCTGGGAGTGGGGGCAGCAGAGTTGGGGTGCCTGGGGATGGGGCTCCAGGCCTCTGTCCACCCACCGCAGTGCCCTCCAGGCCTCCAGTGCCCTTGGGCCATGTCAGCAGGGGGCCCCGGTCCCTGGGCTTCCCGGGATCAGTCCTGAGTCAATGGGCTACTCAAGCTAGAGGGCTGCCTTTCACCTCCGTCTCCGCCAAGCGGCCAGGGTCCCGCGCTCTCCATCCCAGGGTCTCTTCCTGGTAACAGTTTGCCCTTTGAAGTGTGCGTCCGCCCTGCGCGGCCCTAAGGAGACATTCCCGTTAGAGGCCACCTCGCTTCCCGCCACGTCTGCCTGCATTTAGGGATCACGGTGGCGAGGCTGCGACGGGGTCGGGGGAGGATTCACCCTTTAAAGCAAACTGACCCTTACCAGGCGGGATGGAAATGGGGTGGAGTGGGCGAGGAAAGCGGGAGAAGCGTCCTGGGGTCCCGGCGGGCGTGAGACCTGACCCGCTAGGGCTCGGACGCCGTGTGGCTCTTCCTTCTCTGCCGCTGAGCCGGGCGGGGCTCTGTCCTTGCTGCGTTTTAGAAGGAGTTTGCCCCACAAAGAGCTGAGGACAGGTCAGCCAGCTGGACAGAGGGTGGTGGCCCCGAATTCCTTGCGGCCCACAGAGCAAAGTCTGGGCCCCCTTTGGCCTTGGGGCCTGGGAGCGACCCAGAGAGCAGGCCTTGCTCTCGGGACCCCGTCCACCTCTGGCTGCCGGTCCCAGGGGGCTCCCTGCGCCTGGCGGGGAGGGGCTTCCTGCAATGCTGCCCGGCCTGCGGGCCTGGACACTTCCAGGGGGTGGAGAGGGACCAGGCCACCCCCCCGGCTGAGCCCCGCCAGCGAGAGCCTGGCCAGGGAAGGCGGCGGCTCCGAGGGTGGGCGGGTCTCCCTGAAAGATGGCCTTCTCTCGGTCCTCTCCTCCCGCCCTCCCGTGGTCAGGGCACTGCTGCCACCACTTGCAAAGCGAATGGAGGAAAGGGGGCTGGTGTGGAGGGTGGGGACCGGGACACATGAGAGCCTGGGGCCGGGGGTCAGGGGCCCCAATCCTGAGGGGCTGCTACACGCCAGTCCCAGGGGCTCAGGGGCTCCCGGGAGGGGCTTTGCCAGCTGCCAGCTGGTCAGAGACAGGTCTGCTGCAGCCCAGCTCTGACTCTCTCTTGGTGTGCGTGTGTGTGCGTGCGTGTGTGCACACACGTGTGTTTGTGTGTGTGTGGCATGCGTGTGTGCGTGCTGTGCCTCTGCCCTCTGCAGGAGCGGGCAGCAGCGTGCATCACAAGTGCAACAGTGCCAAACACCGCATCATCTCGCCGAAGGTGGAGCCGCGGACGGGCGGCTACGGGGGCCACGCGGAGGTCCAGCACAATGACGTGTCCGAGGGCAAGCAGGAGCACAGCCACGGCAAGGGCTCGAGCCGCGAGAAGAGGAACGGCAAGGTGGCCAAGCCCGTGCTGCTGCACCAGAGCAGCACCGAGGTCTCGTCCACCAACCAGGTGGAGGTGCCCGACACCACCCAGAGCTCCCCCGTGTCCATCAGCAGCGGCCTCAACAGCGACCCCGACATGGCGGACAGCCCCGTGGTCACCGGCGTGTCTAGCATGGCGGTGGCCTCCGTGATGGGGAGCCTGTCCCAGAGCGCCACGGTCTTCATGTCCGAGGTCACCAACGAGGCCGTGTACACCATGTCCCCCACCGCCGGCCCCAACCACCACCTCCTCTCGCCCGACGCCTCGCAGGGCCTGGTCCTGGCCATGAGCTCCGACGGCCACAAGTTCGCCTTCCCCACCCCGGGCGGCTCGGACAGCCTGTCCATGCTGCCCTCCAACGTCTCCGAAGAGCTGGTCCTCTCCACCACCCTGGACGGCGGCCGGAAGATTCCAGAAACCACCATGAACTTTGACCCCGACTGTTTCCTCAACAACCCAAAGCAGGGCCAGACATACGGGGGCGGGGGCCTGAAGGCCGAGATGGTCAGCGCCGGCGTCCGGCACTCGCCTCCCGTGGAGAGGGCCTTCAGCTTCACCACCGTCCTCGCCAAGGAGATCAAGACGGAGGACACCTCCTTCGAGCAGCAGATGGCCAAAGAAGCGTACTCCTCGTCGGCCGCGGCGGCCGGCTCCCTCAGCCTGAGCGCGGGCCCCGGCCTGCTGCCGTCGGGCGGCGGCCTGAGCCCCAGCACCACCCTGGAGCAGATGGACTTCAGCGCCATCGACTCCAACAAGGACTACGCGTCCAGCTTCAGCCAGACGGGCCACAGCCCCCACATCCACCAGACCCCCTCCCCCAGCTTCTTCCTGCAGGACGCCAGCAAGCCCCTCCCCCTGGAGCAGAGCTCCCACAGCAGCCTGAGCGACTCCGGGGGCACCTTCGTGATGCCCACGGTGAAAACGGAGGCCTCCTCGCAGACCAGCTCCTGCAGCGGCCACGTGGAGACACGGATAGAGTCCACCTCCTCCCTCCACCTCATGCAGTTTCAGGCCAATTTCCAGGCCATGGGTGCGGAAGGGGAGGTCACCATGGAGGCCTCGCAGGTGGCCGAAGGGGGCGAGGGCCTGATCAAGTCCGGGGAGCTGCAGGCCTGCGGCTCCGAGCACTACCTGCAACCCGAGACCCCCGGGGTGATCCGCAGCACGGGCGGCGTCCCCCTCCTCCCGGGGAACGTGGTGCAGGGACTGTACCCCGTGGCCCAGCCCGGCCTCGGCCACGCCTCCAACATGGAGCTCAGCCTGGACCACTTTGACATCTCCTTCAGCAACCAGTTCTCCGACCTGATCAACGACTTCATCTCCGTGGAGGGGGGCAGCGGCACCATCTACGGGCACCAGCTGGTGTCGGGGGACGGCGCGGCGCTCTCGCAGTCGGAGGACGGGGCCCGCGCCCCCTTCGCCCAGGCCGAGATGTGCATCCCCTGCTGCAGCCCCCAGCAGGGCAGCCTGCAGCTTAGCGGCGCCGAGGGCGGGGCCGGCACCATGGCCTACATGCACGTCGCCGAGGTGGTCTCGGCCGCCTCGGCCCCGGGCACCCTGGGGATGCTGCAGCAGAGCGGACGGGTGTTCATGGTGACCGACTACTCGCCGGAGTGGTCCTACCCGGAGGTAAGTGGCAGCTGCCATCTCCTCCCTGTCACCCCTCATCGCGCCTGCTCACCCCCAGCAGGGAGCTGAGGGAGCTCATTTGCATGTGGCTTTCCAGACCACGAAGGCCCAGCTGGCCGTCCCAGGTCACCTGAAATACCTCCCCTCCCCGGCCCGGTGCTCAGCCTCCATCACAGCCAGTAGCTTTAGGCCAGGGGTCTCCGCGGGGGCCGGGGGGCCCTCCGGCCAGAGCAGTCCTCTGTCACCTGGCTCACGTGTTAAGATTCCACCTACATTCTGCTTTGTTTTGGGGGAGGGGGCAGGGGAGGCTCCTAGAGCTGGAAAAGACCATTTGAAAGTCAGCATCATAGATCAGCCACGTCCGCTGCTCATTCACTGCTAAACAAAAGGATACAAAGCAAAAACCAGTTCCCAACAAATGAAGAGGGAGGGCACAGCTTCTGAATAGGCTGCTGTAAGACTTGCTCAGTTAAATCGGACCTTGACCCAATCAAAGTCCCCCGAGCCCAGAGCTGCAGGAAACCTTTGGGCCACAGTAGCATGTGCTTCAGGAAGCGACCTTGGCCTTCTCTCCAGCTAGAATGACGCAGGAAGGGAGATGCCCAGCCTTCAGCTCGCTGCACCCCGGGGCGCGCTCCTCCCAGCCCACCGGCCGGGTGCTCGGGGCCCAGATGGGCCCTTTCTCCCAGTTGGGGGCTGTTCGCGGTTCCCCTGATGCCACTGCCACTGCCATGTTCCCTCAATGTCAGGGCGGGGATGGGGCTGCTGCCCGGACAAGGGAGGGATGCTCTCAAAGACCCTGAACCTCCTGGGCTCCCTGAGGCCACAGACCCCCTCCGGTAGGACAGTGCCCAGGCACCTTCCAGATCCAGGCGCTGGCAGGGGGTCCTGGGACAATGCCCACCCAGTTCGGGACTGGGTGCTGGTGTGCCCTGAGAGGCAATGCACCCCTCAGAGCTGGCACCCGCTGCCGAGTCTCCCGCAGGCTCTGGTGAGGGCACGGTGGTGCGGGGCACGTCCCGGGGGCACGCCTGGGAGGGAAGCCTGGCTCTGCCAGACATGGCCTCTCTGTGACTCAGTTTCCTCACCTGTAAGATGGGGATGTAACGGCACCTGCCTCGGGCGTGCTGCCAGGAGTGCTCGGTGGTCTTTGGCCCGTAGTCTGTCCTCAGTGGATAATGGCCATTATTCCCGGCCACAGTGCTCTCTCCACACCCTCCTGCCTTGGCCGTGAAAAGAGGCTGCTCATTGGTTGACTGCCTACGACCGTGGCGGGGTCACCTGGACGTGGGCCTCCGTGTCACAGACTTGGCCAGGAGGCTCACACTGCTTACCCCCTTCCTTGATGGCAAAGCTGAGATAAAACCTGTGTGCCAGTGCCCCCAGCTCCCAGGGGCCATGTCAGCCACTGGCGGCCCCGCCTCCAGACAGGAGCCTGGAAGTACAGTCGGCGTCGGGTCAGAGCAGCTCCCGCCCGTGCGCTGCGTGTGCGGGGCGTTAACGTCCTCAGGCGTCCAGGCGGCCGCCCTGTGTGGTGAGGGGTCTGGATTCCAGGCCTGGCCCACGCTTCCCACAGTGACGGGGGCGGGAGCGGCCTTCCCGTCTCCACCTTGGTGTGGGGTGTGAGGACTCAGTAAGGTGCTCAGGCAGCACCTGTGTCTCCTGTCCACCTCCCACACTGCCCCCCTCAAGGCTCTAGAAGGTTCCAGCCGGTTTCCCTTGCTGTGGCTTGGGGTGCCTCCCCTAGTGGCACCAATCTCAGTGGCACCGTCCCAGCACCCGCCACGCTCCCCAGGACACTGAGGCTCCCTGGAGCCTGAGTCCTGCAGGAGCTGAAGGGCGGGAGGGGGAGCCCTCTTCCCAGGAGCCACAGCCTGGGCGTGCAGGTCCTGGGCGTGCAGGTCCTGGGCGTGCAGGTCGTGGGCGTGCAGGTCCTGGGCGTCCAGGCCCGCACTCAGGCCTCCTTGGCCCGCGGGCCTTGGCCAGGGGCCTTAGGGAGGGCCCTCAGCAGGCCTGGCCTCCTCTCCGTTCTGCCCCCGAGTCCCAGCCTGCGGCTCCATGCAGTTCAGCCGCTGGCCACCAGAGGGAAGCACGGGAACAGGAACCTCGCGGAGGGAGCCTCTGCCCTAGTTTCCCAGCAGCCCCGGGTGATCACAGCTGCTGGGAACAAAAGCAGCTCAGATCCAATGTGATTTGGAAAATGCACGGAAACCACCCGATGTGGCTGAGTGGAGAGACCTCTGCGGAGGCCCCAGGGGCGCCACCCTCCCACGGTCCCCAGTGGGCAGCAGAGGGGCCCCCCTCCTGGGTCACCCCCTTCTCTACTGACCTCCCCTTTCCTCCCCTCCCTCAAACCCCCTGGCCTGCATGCTCGCCCCTCCCCTGCTCCACCGGCCAGAGGCCTGCTTGCTGACAGGCAGGACCCTGGTTCTAGCCAGGCTCTGCCAGGCTCCAGAGGGCTCTGTGCTGGGACATCCCAGTCTGTACATATGGGGTCAGGCGCACCCACTTTGCAGGAACACCAAGGCTGGGGCCACCTCGCTGTCTCTTCTCAGAGGGTCCCCACTCCCACAGGCAGCTCCCATTTCTGTGTTCTGTTCTCTTAACCTCCAGCTGCAGGCGGCCACACGCACACGCATGCATGCATATACTCATGCACACATGCATACACATGCACACACATGCATATACACACACGCACACATGCATATACACACACACACATGCAAACACACAGGAGGTGCCCCTGGGCCCCAGAATCTGCCCCAGGTGCATCAGAAATCTGGGTCCTTTGTCTCAGGACTCCTAGGACAGGGCGACCTCGGTGGCATTTGCTGCTCCCTCCCCTCCCCCAAGCCCTCTATGCCACCTCCCTTCACCCACTCCTGCGGCACCAGGCGGGGGAGGACACAATTAGGGCCTTCAGGTGCCTGCGTCACCGCAGCTCAGCGCAGCAGGGCAAGGGTTGCCATGGAAACCATCCCTTGAAAGGAAGGATTCTGAGCCCCTCCTGTGCGGTTGCCATGGAGAAGGCCCTGGTTCGCGGTTGCCATGGAGAAAGCCCTGGTTCCGCAGTGATTCCTGCAGCCTGCTGTCCCCCGCAGCGGCCCTGGCTTCCCGCCAGCAGCTGTGGGTGCTGTTATTTTCCTCTTCCTTCTTCCGCACATGGTCACCGCAGCCTTCTGAAGCCACTGCGCTTTCCCTTCCCAGGAAGCAGCAGGACGGCCCCCTGAGCTGGCCGCGTGCTGCAGGCATCCCAGAGTCGGCTCTGCCTGGGGCAGGGGGCACCCGCCCAGCCAGCACCCACTCCCAGCCCTGCCCCTCCCAGAGCCCCAACTCTCCCGGTGGAACCCTAGATCTGAGCCAAGAGAAGCAAGGCCAGGGGCCCTGGAGATCAGATCCCACCAGAGAGGCGGGGCCCTGGCCTGAGAACACTGCCACCCGGCCTCCTGCTCTGGGCTCCTGTCTCTCTCCACTGCCCTCCACACTGTGGTTGCCTCGCGGTAAAGTGACATCTCCAAAGCCAGACCTGCCCCTCCTCGGCGATCCCCACCAGACCTGGGGTCCTGGTCCCTTTGCATTACCCACCAGGCATCAGTCTCTGCAGGACACTGAGGCCTCAGGCCTCCTCAAACCCGAGCCTCCCGCAGTCTGCCCACAGCCCGGACAGACCCGGCCCCCGCCCTGTCCTCCCCTTTCTCCCAGGGGTCCACCAGGCCAGTTCCCAGGGGCTGCCGGGGCCGAAAAGATTAGAAAACTCTGCTCCTGCCTGGAACCGAAATGAAGCAGGAGGGGTCAGGGGTCAGCCCTGCGCCCGTGCTGGATGCCAGCTGAGGGAGCGAGGGGCCCCGGGGCCCCAAGGGACCAGGGCTCCCCCACAGAGGGTGTGTCCCTCGACCCTCGGCAGCTGACGCTGTCCCCGCTGTCTGTCCCCTCCAGGGAGGAGTGAAGGTTCTCATCACAGGCCCGTGGCAGGAAGCCAGCAATAACTACAGCTGCCTGTTCGACCAGATCTCAGTGCCTGCGTCCCTCATCCAGCCCGGCGTGCTGCGCTGCTACTGCCCAGGTGAGATGCGGGGCCTGGACGCGGGGCACCCTGAGCGAGCTGAGGCGTCGCTCTGGGCCTCACCCCCCCTCAGCTGTGAACAAGTGGGCCCCGATGGGCTGTTATAACGGCCCCTGTTCTGCTCATGGGCCCCATATGGGGCAGGGACAGGCGGGGACTGGCCACTGCGGAAGCTCTAACCTCCCAGCCCTGACGGGTTGCGGGAGCTGGTGGGAGTGGGGCAGGTGGGGGCCCCACAGGAGCTGCGTAAGGTCAGGGGCCGCCTCTGCAGCACGCGGGCCTCTCTCCTCCTACGCGCTCACGGCCCGAGCCAACCAGGTGCCGTATGAATAAGAGAGTCCAGGCCATGGGCGCACAGGGCCAGTGCCCCTGGGGCGCAGGGAGGTCAGAGGCCTGGTGGGCGATGGGGGAGGGGTGTCAAACTCAGACTAATCCACACAAGCTCCTTGGAAGTTTGCCGAAGGCCTCCACCCACCCAGTGCCCCGAGAAGGTGCCTGCACAGAATTTGCTCCCAGGTTCAGAGGTGGGAGCCCCAAGGGCTGCCCCTCGGGGTTCATCATCCTCTGCTTAGCTGGTGACCTGTCTGACAACTCATCCTCCCCAGGGGCCTGTCAGCCCCACACGGGCAGAGTCTGTCTTTCTTGGTCACTGAGTCCCCCGCGGCTGGAAAGCGGCCCCAGCGCGGCACGGTGAAGCGAGGAGCGTGGTTTGTGCAGGAACCTGTGTCTAGAGCCCAGGCTTTCCCCGGGCTGGTGCTGGGACCACCCTGCCTGGCCCCTCCCATACCAGTCGCCCCAGGGATGACCTGTCCCACTTCCCAGGCAGTGAACGGAGACACAGGGAGGTAGGTGGCAGGGACGGAGGTCCACCCTGTGCCATCTGAAGCCCGGGCTACAAAGGAGAGAGCGCTCTCTGCAGAGGCGGCAGGTGGGGAAGAGAGGCGGGGGTGGGGTCGGCCGGTACCAGTTTCCACCAGGGGTGCTCCCAACAGAGCCTGGCCCTCCCCCCACCCCCCTCCCAGCTGTCTGCCTCCCCAGCCTTCCCAACCCCCCTGCCCAGGCTCCGAGCTCAGGGCAGAGTCTCCTC